TATTAAATTTATAGAGAACTGTAGAACTATCTTTGGGGGTGCATTCAGAACTCTAAAAAAAAATTGATTTTTTGAAAAATGGGATGCCAACTTTACAGAGGTCGCACTATTTTTTCTTTCCATTAATTGACTTTGAAAAGCTCTACATCGCCGTATCTTCTTCGTTACTTTTACGAAACGCATTTTCATGAAGGTTTTATCAGGCCTAGATTTCCACGGAAGAATGTTATTTACATTTCAAGTAGCTCATTCTTTTTTAATAGGTATTTCATGTTAATATGTAGAATTATTCAAGCTACTAATTATCAAATTATATGGTCTTGAACATTTTAAAATTCTAACAAATTCAAAACGTAAATTAATACGAATTAAATTAATGTGTCGATTAACCGACTTGAAAATTTGTTTAAAATTTATGTCATTCAAGAATGAAATTATTAAAATTGCATAATCAAAATACTATATAAATTAATTACAAAAAATATTTATTCAAAATTAAATTGCAATACAATTACGTTACATTTCCAATTAAGAATATAATAATGAGAATAATTAAAAAAATCAATATCGTTCATTAACATAAAATATTGTTACGTTTCAGGATCATGCAACCAGTCCTTGGGGATGGAATCGGGTGACATACCGGATTCAGCTATCACTGCGTCCTCATCGTACGTGACGAACGTCGGGCCGCGCTACGGCCGGTGAGCATATTACGGCGTTATTCTTTCCACAACATTAAAAAATATCACTAACATTTTTTTAATACGCTTCGAGGGTGGTGTATGCGATCGTTCGTCAGATCGCGAATTTAACGCACCGACATCACACACGAATGCGTCGTGTATTATTCGTCCTCCTCACGTCTATCCTTCTATTCTTCATTTTGCGCGACTGTCGCGCACGTTCTGTTTATAACTCAACGATCCCATTCATCTATCTATTGCGAAAGTTCGCTTTTTGCAAGCAGTAGCGATATTGATTTAATGCTCGCCGGGAATTTAACTTATTCAAATCTAATTTGCTTGAAGTTACATACCTAGTGCGCCTGCGACTATTAAGCGTGCAATCCGGTTACGAGAAATAGTAATCACGTTTTATAGGAGATACAGAGCGACATAACTATTTCTGCGAAGTAGTCTATCGCCACTTGAACAATACATTCTAAGTCAGCTCTAAATTATAACTTTAGTCTAAGAATAATATACTTGAAGAATTATATATTCGCAGTGATGATTCAATTATACGACTAAAAACAGCACGGAAAGAAACGATATACTGCCGTATATAAAATATGGAACGCATAAATAATTTTAATTTTATTTAACTAACCGATTTATTTAATCGATAAATAGATAAAAGCGGGCAAACTAAAGGGAGCGGAAAGAATTAATTTTATTATTCACTGCAATGTAATTTACATAATAAATGTCTCGTGCCATTTTGTAATTGATTGGTTTTTTGTTACAGTAAAATGTTGAATAAAAATTGATTGCAAAACATGTGAGTTGAGCAAATTGTGTCATCATAATTAAACAAAGCGTAAACAATATGTAAATTGAGAAACGGATCGTTTCAACAACGGACATAATTAAAGCAGTGGTAAAGGCGATCATTGATCAGGCGTCAGGCATGCCTGATAAATGAGCACCGTCCGAAGGTTCGAATACGTCAAATTGTCAGCCTGAGGGGACCTCGTATATTTTAACGCGCATAAAAAACTTAGTAAAAAATCAGCTATTATAGATTCTTTATGTATTGTTAATGAACAGACGAAATACTTCAAAGCAATAAGATTATACTGCAGAGATGATCGCGTGGCATGTTTATTCATTGTTCAGTAAGATTTCGCAACGTTGAATCTTTAAATATAATCTTTAACGAGACGAAAAAAAACTTGATATTATATGTAATGGCACTGAAAGATATATTCCCTCCGTTGGCGGATTTATGATTTCAATATGGAGCTTTATATTTAATTGACACTTTTCATGCATACAAGTTTTCGTAAAAGAACGATTTATTTATAATTTAAAATTTCTATCAACTGCGAGTACACAAAACTTTTCGTAACAGCGAAATTCTTTTGTATTGAAGAACTGCGTTACGTGAAAAGTGTAAACGGCAAACGAATCGACGCGGCGTAAATGTTGTCCGGAAATCAATCGCCGGCGAAAGATGGTCGGAAAAAGCGAAAATCTTCTCGTTCTACAGTGAAGTTAACTTTGTTATTAAGTACGAGACGCCACTCGAGCAGAAGTGATTGAGGTAGTGCGGACTTTTATTAGCGCCATTTAACACAAACGTAAATAATCGACGGAGGCAGAGAAAACGTGAATGGAACGGCGTGGTGAGGTAAGAGCGCAAATGAATCACGAATGCACTGTTTAAGTACACTTTTCAGAAGGTGGAAGTTTTTAAAACCTAGAAATACTCTCGCGAATTGTTCTTCTTAGTTGAAACGATAGTAACGGAATTGCACGATATAATTGTGCGGGCAGACTTTTTTATACTCGGGAAGACGGTAAAACGATAATTTCGTGGCATTTTCGAAATGAAAAGTCTAACGATTCTTTCACGCATAGTCCTTCACGTACGAACTATCCTACACAAATTGTTAATTTCTTTTATATTTTTTGCGATCGTAAGTTATTCACCACAATTTAATCAACTGAGAAATAAATTAAACTTGATTCTAATAAAAATAGTATTTCTCACATTTTATATTAATAAAATAGAAATTTTGTATAAAATCCTTAGAAATCATATTCTTAAGATTAAGTTGCTGACCATGCAGAGAGAATTGCCTCCAGCATACTAATATTTTCTGTAAATAGACTCCGGAAGGAAGCCGCCGGCGGTGCCTGGTGTCCAAAAAGCCAAATAGAGAAAGGGGTTCGCGAGTGGCTTCAGGTCGACTTACAGAGTGCTCATGTCATTACGGGTGTGCAGACGCAGGGTCGTTTCGATCACGGTCGCGGTCAGGAATATGTCGAGGATTATACTCTAGAGTATCGACGTCCCGGCTTCACTCAATGGCGCCTATATAAGCACTGGGACAGCAAAGAGGTAAGGCAAGACAGGCATATCGGTTGATAGTATCTATGGCAAAGGAGGGGAATGCAAATGGAATCATTTGCTGGATTTTCGTTGCGGCTTGATGAATTAATTACAAACAGATATTATTATACTTCACAAATAAATATAAGACTGAATCAATCTAATGGAATATTATATGAATAAATGGAAATAATTTAATGTTTTTTTTTTTTATTAAGTTTTAACCAATGTTTTAATTTGTCAGTATTTCAATGCAGCAAGTATTTTGATATTGTGTAAATTATAACACGCGGTAGCTATAATAATAATATGTGATGCGCTTTGAATGATACATCGCATGGAAGAGAGCAATTGTAGAGTTTGATTATAACAAACCGGTTCGATTGTAGATGTGTCGCTCGCAGGTTATTGGGAGTTTACACCATGTCTCAATTGGAGCAAACTCAAACAAACGCACGTAAACGATGCGTAGAACAAACTACAAAACCGATCGGAAACGTTCGCGTGTCTGGTTCTGGTGTCAAATTGAAATTTTATTTCCATTGAAATGCAGAAGACCTCGACTAAAAGTCGTTTGTTCGTAAAGTCACAGTTAGAACTCCACTTGGCATTCGCTTAACGATGCTTAATTGGCGGAACTTTTCCTATGTCAATTAATTATCCGTGAGAAAATTTTATCGCCAGTCAAAGTTTCTCGTAAGACGGGCATAAAGAGAAACGAGTGAAAAATTACGTTACGGAGCGCAAAAATACATAATGAGTTTTTCATTATGATATATTAGAAGCATTAAGCGAATAGCTCGTGTACAAGTATCGTGAAATCCATAAAAAAGTATTATAAAATTTAAAAAAGTTATTTGCAGAGAACACAGTTTTTGTGATCTATGTATACAAAAATTTGATTACGAGCACGCTTGCAACAAAATTGTAATTTTATCTATTTGTGTATGAGACGAAAGTGTTAAATATTCTTTTATTCGCGTTTCTACAAAAAAAATCAATATACATTTACTAGCTCTCTGGTATCTTTCACATTTAAATAAAATGTGTTTTTCTATTATAATATCGAAATCGTTTTGTTTCACGGTTTACCATATTCCCAATCGGATCACCATATTCTCAACTTCGAGTTCGATTTTGCACAACCCTCCCGCTACCGTTCGTGAGATCCAGTCGAGAAACAGGGAAGCGAGAAGCGACAATCGATAAGCGATCTACTCGTGTGCTGGAATTGCACGTAACGTCTTCGTATCGTAACGTATGGTTAAGCGTCGCTAAAAGTGCAACTTCCTCTTTTCGAGAGCTAGACGTTTGCAGTCCTCCCCTTTCCCTCCCGACCACCGTATTCTCGAATATCGCGTTCAAGAGATTGAATCACGCATCGCTGCCTTCAACATGGCGCGCTTCTATCGCGGAATTATTTCTATCGATTGCTGTTTGTACTACGATCAATATAACTCTTGTGTAAATGCGCGTTCGATTATTTCCTCATGCAACAATTTGTATAAATAAGCAATTTAACGTGTGATAGCATATTAAATGATAACAGCTATGTATATGTTCAACCTAACAGCAAATGTAAATAATTTTTGTATTTATTTTACTTTGTACACAATTATTACTTTGTTATATAAAACATTGTTTTGTATTGATTCACGTTCAGTGCATAGCATAACTGATCGTGAAATATAAAACCTAGCACACACTTATTTAATGACGTGATCATTTTAATACACCAGGTGTTCAGATATTTATATGTTGAAATTCACTATTGATAAAAATTTTATTGATTAATTTATATGAGCTATTATTAATATTTTAGTTTTACGTTTAATCTTTCATTACATTTCACAAACATTCCTTGCAGATATTTAAATATATTAATATAGATCATGATTCGATAAGTCCAAAAGTGTCGGAAATGTCAGATAATGTCATTAACATCCGATATATATTTAAGTCGAATAATCACTGCTTTTATGGATAAAAGCAGATATTTCGCCATAGGATAACGAGCTGGGATGAACTAAAGTGTGATATGATAGGTAATTTTGTAGATAATTGACTCCCAGAGATCGTAATGCTTCGTTAAACTAATGCCAATTCAACGGAAGTTTATAGCGTGGAATTTTGCCGGAAAGTTCGCATTTAGTGCAATGCACTAAATGTATTATCGTCGAGATAACACGGCTGTCATCGATACCAGACGGGTGTGCTTCGGTATTTCCATCCAGGAAAATTAATAGTGCTGCACGTTTATGCGCCAACACATTTGCTAGTATTATATTAACTGATTCAAAAATTGAGATGTCTATAAGTATTGTGAAATTTTCAAATGGAATGTCCATTAAGATTTAATCGTATTAACGCTATACGGTTTTCGCGATAAGAGTTATACCATCAAATCCACAGTTGCCTGACAACAACTCATCAACGCCGAACAAAAAAACTTCGTTATTTTGTGAAGGGACGGTGTTGGTAATCCAAAAATCGATTCTCGCGTCAATTGATGCGTGAAAAGTCGCTAATTTTATTCCTTCGCGTTTGCTGTTTTATTAACATCTATCGCATTCTCTGCAGATTTTAACCGGCAACACTGACACCTCCACCATCGTATCGCACAATTTAGTTCCACCTATCTTTGCCAGCCAAATCCGGATCTTGCCACACTCGGAGCACAGACGTACGGTGTGTCTCCGAATCGAGCTTAAAGGATGCCGCGATGCGAGTAAGTATATTATATGCACGGGAAAACATCACATCTCCTAATTTGAACTATTTGATATTTTTGAAATCACTTAATTTTCCAACTTTAAAAATTCCTTATCAACAAAGCCTATACAAAAAGAAATTTACTTTGAATTTATTGTTGCATGAATAATAATTTTTTGTTGCATGAAAAACTCATATCCTGTACCTTTTGATGGATTAAACAAAATTAAGTTAAATTTGTATGATCATCTACATCATTTAAATAAATGTATTTCATAATATATCTTTCATAAAGAGAACAGCGTAATTTTAACGGCAATTGGCACAATAATGACAATTGTCGATAATGTGTCCATCGAAAACGCTCTTACACGGATAAGCAAATGTTTTCATTAGCCATCATCTCTCGTCGGATAAATTCTTGCGCACAAAATTGTTATCATGCATAACGAATGTATTTCGATATTACGCAGTCAAATTATCATCGGAAATGACATAATTGAAGTAATGCATGTCGAATGTCGCTACTAACACACGTATGTGAAAATTGTCTACGTGTTGACGAATCAATAAGAGAGACAAGAAAATAAAAATGATTATTAAACAGTCTGCGAACATAAACATTTTCGAATAGATACGCGCAATGGCCTCCCTCGGCAGTTGTAATGAAACTGTTCGGAACGGTTTCGAATCGGGATAATTTTTCCTAGATAGCTGTAGATATTCTACTGTGCATCTATGGAAAAAGGAAATTATTCCAATCGGAAACCGTATCGAGCAGTGCATAATAACCGCCCTGCGCTTTATCAGAAATATTCGGAATCGCGAGCATCCGGAAACATATATACAATCGCATTGGGTGCACGACAGTGATGCCACGTCGCTCAAGTGGACATCTGACGATTAATTTCCAAATTGCAATTTCATTCAATTTACCGAGACGCCGTTGAAACGGCTACGAGAAGGCAGGGTGCCGCTGGCTCTAACTACAGTGCTAGATCCCATTAACGTTCGTAACAGCGTTATACGAACGAGCTCATTGCTAGGTCGACTTGGTACATTTGTTTTCGACCTAGTTCCAGTACTTAATGTCTCTTATAGAATCAATGCGCTGTTAGCGCTCGTATGGTGAATGCACGTTGTATTAAGCAATGACAAAGTTCCTGTACGGAGAAAATTTGAATACTCTCTCCGGTTTTCCCAAATTTTGCTCTAAATAAATTTCTTTTCCTAGAAAACTGAATAAAACTAAAAAAATATTAAAAAATGAAAAAATTTATGTATCTACATATGAGAGAAAATAATTGTATTATTTTTGTTCGCCACTTCTCTTTCTATAAAACAACACACGCTTAATAATAATTAGCATACCATTTAAGCATGGGCAACTATTGTCGATGAAATAATTTTCTTCCTAATTTTTATTCATTGAGCTGGTAAACTCCAGAAGTTTTCGCAATTCCGCCGAGTTTCTCCAATATTTTCGTATGATCCGAAATTTTTCCAACTTTCCTAACTATTTGGAGCATGCCAGCATTTTAATTTATTTTTCTTCCCATCTTCTATTCTTGATCCAACAAAGTAACAAATGCTAAGTATTCGTGATGCATACGACATCTATTTTCATAATTTATGTACAAGTGCGTGTGTTATGTATAACAAACATGCTGCGCGCTACCACAATGCTATTTACATAAATTTGCATACAGTTTCTTTTCTCGTTCGCGTTACTTTACCCGACTCCTAAATTCAAGACATAATTTTATATAAATTCTACAAAGCAGCGTGCAAAGATTAGATGAAAACGGCATATATTATATACCAAAAAACATTTCTTCGCGGTGTTGTAATATTTAACAATAAATAAATAAAAATTTGTTTTGCATCTAAATGTAGTTTTCAAATTAAATACTTTAATATGTGCAATGTATTTATTTAATCGTCATATGTATAATTATGTATTTTTATTATAAATTTTTTATTTTACATTTTTATATTATCTTAAAATGATAATAGAATACAAAGTAAGTCTGTTGGAGAATTTCTCATTAAATGCTGACAGCAAAAGCACTCCCGCTTCAAGTTAAGAGCTAGGTATCGTCGGGATATATGTTTTACGTAAAGAAGAAACTGTGCAATCAGCACAAGCAGCAACATTTCACAAAGCAGGGTAGAATGGGGAAACATGTAAAAAACGCTAAACGAAAAAGAGCTTTGCTTCTTTGTTATATCCAACATAAATTATTATTTCTACTTTCAAAATGTGAATAAGCTCAAGTTAATTATAAATTAAAAATGCTCATATACATATGTATAAATTGTACTGAAGTTTAACTGTATGTTAATACTTTTAATTAATTAATGGTAAAATTTTAAAACAATTCATAAGAATTGCTAATTTTAATAAGCTTTTAGAAAATGTGTGAGAATATAGCACAGCTGGAGTTCACTACCATCTCACTAAAGTTTTTACATAATAAGTAAATTTATATTATAACTTTGCTATATATGAGCGTGTGTATGGTGTATGTATATGTGACTTCGTGATATTTTTTTTCTCTACCTACACTGTTATCGTTATCACGATATCTTTCGATTTTGTACCGCTTAAGATAGGCACAATCAGCAAATATATTGTTGACTACAAAAGCCGAGGAATAATATTGACGCAATGTGTGCCCTTATTATCAATATCTCGCCAAGAAAGGGACATTTGCGTAAATCATTTTTCTGGGTCGCTAATATCCAGCAACAGCAAGATCGCACACATTCGTGCGATGACGATGTGTGCGGCTGGGCGCTGTAGTACGGAGCGACGGTAAAACGGCGACATGAGAGCTTTCGCGCTATAAAAAGTATTCGGAGCGTGTGAGATCGAGCCCGAGCTGGGCGGGTATGCCGGATTTATGGCGGCCGTGCACGGCATCTGGTTAAAACAACGCTGATGCCCTACCCCGAGCCGGTGAACACGAACGATTACTCCCGAATCGCGGGCAACACGGCCTACTCGGTCAACGGTGGTACAAAATCCACGACATTGTCCTCCTGGTATTGACATTCGCGGTCTGACAGGATACAAGTGTGCTAAACCTCAGCTGATAGAGCGCAATCAGAGCGATCTGTATATCATTTATTAAAAATATGATTCTGTCCGGTTAGTTGCGAGCGCGGTCTATATTCCAATATATATGCTGAAAATTATATTTCATAAATTTTTTTACGATATAATACGAGATATCTCGCAACTTGCATAACTTTAATTACGGATTAAAAGAGCTTCTCGTGAATTAAGCTTCAGGAATATAAATAGATTAAAACAAATTTCAAATCATTTCGGATAAATTTTGATAAAATATTAATTTGAAATTTAGTTGTACAAAGATAAATATTTTTTTCCTTCCCTGATATTTTTATTATTTGTAAAAAACTTTTATTTTTAAAATAAAATTAAATATTTGCAAGTGTGAACATCCTGTGCACTAAACAAACAGAATACAAAAACCTATTATTTCAATTTGTATCCGCAACAGGTAAAACTCAGTTTATTAATAATAATTTATAAAAGTTGGTTGATAATTCTCCATATATGCTTGCAGAAAGTTATATTAACGCGAGACTTATTAGGAATTGCACTCTGCCGAGAGATTGTACTAACGATCCCAATGAAAATTCGCAATAATTTCGAACCATCGAAAGAAGATTGTTAGCGCAGATTAGATTAGTGGATTACCAGATTACAGAGTAGAGACCCTGTAAGAGCAATGTTTCTGACGCGTGCTGAAATACGGTGTTCCTTAATGCGTACCTTCAAAAATGGCAGGAATATCAACGACACATCGCTGAAATGTTCGCCAGTTTACACGAACGATCCTTGTGCACGTGAAAAGTGCACGCCAAGAAGTGACTTTGTTGCTCAAATTGCGGATTAATTTCGCTCGCTACTTATTCTCTTATCATTGTTACGCGGCGACTGTGCACACAATGCTCAATATTTATATCTATACCCCGTCTATTATGTTTTTCTAACAAATACTACATACTTTATAACAAGTGCGGGGTATACCGAGACGCTATCACGCCCTTATTACATTTAAGTTACGTATATTTCTCGAAGATTTTCTCCGGGAGCGCGCAAGTATCTTTTATCTTGATTAAAAAGAAAACCATTATATTCGAGAATGGGGTCGGCCTTTTATTTTCAAAGGTATTTACGTTTGTACAATTCCCGTGTATTGGATGCCAGTTGCAGACCGGCCGCGTGGCGACGAGGCGTTACGTTGTTCTAAATAAAATTATTATCTCGGCGTCATCCACGTGACACGGAATCAGGCAAAGGTACGTTGACCAAAACTGGCTTGACCACATCGCGTGACAACGACGGCCGGCCGTGGACCGTATATACCGTGAAATATTAAGAGTAGTTAAGCGATTTTGAACACGATATGGCAAAGTGGGCGCACCGCCATTTTTGCGGTCCGTTATTAATTTTCTCGCTACGAAAATCCAGCCGTCCGTTCCCTTGCGGATGCCGCCCGCCGCGACCGACCAAGTCGTTTTAATTAATTTTAATTGATTAATTTTAACTAAGCTCCTTCCGCCACCGCGCTTCACGGCACGTTATTAAGCAGCGCCACTTCATTTTCGAAGTGTATCCGAGAACTGGAGCAAAGTGCTGTTGCTTGCAAAATACACGGTAAATTTCAGTAAAATGGTATGGGCTCGTGAAATAAGTTTTTCATTTTTAATCATTATAGTAATAATTAATAATAACGAGGAAGTATAACACGTTTGCGCGAGCAAGTGTAACACGTTTCTTCATAATTAAAGACATGCATATATGGTGTTGTGCAAAAACGTGTAAAATTATATTTTTGCCTGGAAAATATTCTCTAAGTAAAATCTTCGTTACTGCAACGAATTATTGACCTTATTTTATGCTATGTTATTTGAAAGTTTCAAAGTAACGCAGTTATTTAGTGTTTGAAGAGAGATGGGATATTATCAACTAGAAACAAAACATAGCTAATAGCGCTACGAAGTTAGGTGAAACGTAAAAGTTCGAAAGACGAGTGTGTTTTAAAAGAAAACTACTGTCGCGATTCTCACGCGAAAACTTTCGCCTGTTTCAGGCGGCGTCGTGAGCTACACCATACCAGATGCTTCCATGCCGGAACACAATGACAGTACGTACGACGGTAAGAAGGAGAAAAACCTGCTAACCGGTGGCTTAGGCTGTCTAATCGATGGCGAAGTTGGCGCGGATGATTACAGGCTAATCATCGGAGATGGACAAAGTGAGTGGACACAGCAATGTTAAGTGGGAAAACTAAAGATATCTATCTGTTGTTAGCAATTTACGTTAATAAGATCGCTCCAGACAAATTGTACACTTTCGCGTTAAGAAGGTATCCGCGATCGTTGTAGCCTGCAATTATGAGAGCCATAGAAACATTTCGTTCCCAGCTTCGTTGCTCTCAGTGCATTATAATTATAATTTCGTAACTTCACCGCGTGAACTCGAAATAGAAAATCGGTTTTTTTGTAACATGATTTTCTTTTGAAATTTTCTCCTTCTACGTTCAATAAAAGCAAGTTCATGAAATTGCTATACTGCGTGCATAAAGTTTTGTAACAATTATATTTGTTTGCTATTGTGAAGAATCGTAACAAGTGCGCGATTCGTTTTGTATGAACGTGTCTCTTTCGTTGGCTGCAGGCACGGGTTGGGTTGCCTGGCTTCGTGACATTTTCGCAGAGAACTTCGTGGAGCTCATCTTCGAGTTTGAAACCATATTAGTCTTCGAAACAGTGCACATCTATACCAACAATTATTTCTCACGGGACGTGCAGGTAATTTTTCAACCGTTTTTTGTAATGTTATTTGTAACTATTTTCTCTATCAACGCGCTTTCATAAACTTTTCTCTGCGCAAAGAAAAAGTAACTAAACATTTAATCATAAATATTTATGCTAATTATTATTTAGAATTACGCAACTCAAATGATCAAGTTTTGCGTAAATCTACTTGGAATGTTATTTTTACATTGCATTTTAATATTATTTTTTCACACTGTCTTAAATTCATATTTTACATTTTTGCTGTTTCAAATGCAAATTTTTGCGTTGCAATAATAAATAATTTTAATAAATAAAAAATGTAGCTCACATAAAACAACTTTCATATTAAGCTAATCCCTCCACCATTTTTGACGATAAATTACTTACCGCAATGTTGTCCGACGTCCGATGCTCCCTGCGACTCCTGCTTCTTCGTAGCACTCACACGCGTTCGCGATCATGCTCGCATTGCTCGCGAGCGCACCCGACACAAAAATCATGCGACACTTTAAACGGCACTCCCGCGCGAACGTCGTAAGCAACTCGAACCGAATATTCCAAGCAACGACGATATTCGAATACCACTCGCGTTTCGGACGATCGGATTTACCAAATTGGGGCACGGATGTCTCACAATAGAGAATAAGTATAGAGAAGGCAAGGTAGGATCAATCGTGGGGTCAACCGGAATATCGGGTTCCCAGCAATATCTTCGTGTCGGATGACGTCATGCACTACACGTGAATTGTATGTTCTAACACGATTTGATAAATGAAGGGGGCCATTCACGATGGTCCCAAGATAATCGTAAAAAGATGATTCTTCTCCAGACTGAGCCCTTTTGACGGAGATACTATCATGTCTCAGAGTTTGTTGCTGCATTCATCGGAAATCCGATCATCTATATGATTTGTTAGAACTCGTTTCGAGCTCGCGCGAAATTCTTACGGCACTCGCGACGCGCATTTTATTATATTACGACGAAACGAAGTTACGGCGAAGCGCATATAACGATCCGCTAGCATCGAAGTAATCCGGTAGTTTATCTGAAAACATAAATGCATTTACATTGCAACAGCGTTCAAAACAGGATTACAAGAAATAATATTATTAAGCTATACTGTAATTTATTGCTAATTTTACTCGTTAATAATTTTTTAATAGATAACACGTATAGAATTTTAAATAATTGCCACATTTATGCGACGATACGCATTTTTGCCTAAGAGATGAAATTTTAAAGTATATTTGAAAAAGTATCTATATTTCTCTAAGTTAACTAAACAACAAATATCGTTCATAACACGCTGTGATGAAAAATTGATCGAGACTTCCATCAGTTACATTAAAAGCAGTATCATTAATTTAGCGAGAAAAGCAACAATTATTTTGCTGTATGTACATCAAAACGAAACAATCGCGCTGGTACTTTTGAGGAAATGTCAGTCAAGAAATGTCAATTAGATACTCATAAAGATAAAACAGAATATCCATAACAAAAAACACTATCTCTTCCATATTACAGATGTGAAGTAAGTGTCATTTGTAAATAGTGTCATTTGCAGAACGCATCATAAATGACATGATTAACGATTATGCATCAATTGTAATGCATGTATACATCTTCGATGTCAATGCCCTCGCACACGATTTGCAACACAAAAGAGTTTTTACCTGTGTATCAAAGTGCATTGACCGTATAATAAAAACAAGTTCGAATCGCGAGTCTCTATTTTTCCAGAATACATCAGACATGATGCGCTCTAGGAAAATAGTATGCAGAATTTCTTCTATTTTTCTTATCGTAAGAGACGAGATTTTAAAAGCAGCATATTATTTGAACCCAAAACACAGAACAATTTTTTATAACGTAGTACACGGCCTTTACAATGTAGTGTTCTATTTTCTCTAAAATATCTAATAATAGGTATTTTTCTCTGAAATAAAGTTTTGCACAAAAGAGATGCATTTGATTTTTTCTCATTATTTCGAGCTGATTCTCATAAAGAATATATGCATATATAATATTTATAATATCCATTATTCCTAAACAAGTCTGCTTCGCACAACAGGTATTTTCGAAGGCGGATATATGGTTCAGCATCGATGGCAAAACCTACGAAGACGAACCTGTGCTTTATTCTTACATACCGGATCTCGTGCTGGAAAACGCTCGAAATGTTTCAATCAGTCTTCACGAAGGACGCGGCAGATTCCTCAAGCTGCATTTATATTTCGCTGCACGATGGATCATAATCAGCGAAGTGACGTTCGACGCAAGTGAGCTTCTCGTATCTTTGCAACATCTACTTGTTCTAGCGACAATAATTTTCTTTAGCTTTTACGTTACATGTCAACCTGTAAGAAACAATTTATCACGTTTTTTTTTCTCATATTTTTCGCGAGTTTCTTTGGTCACCTTGTACATTAGCTGATCCAAATACCGATCGTAACTTAACCGCGTACTTAACCATAATTCACAGATTGTGATGCTTTACGAAGTCTTGTCTTAATAAATAAAATTATAATGTCGACTGAATTATCTTGTTCTACTCCGCTTGCATTCGTTCCGACTTCAATTGCCTTTTAATAACCGTCACGTCTTTGTCTCGAATATCCGCGACCGTATTTCTCCAATTTTATCGCACTAATGACCGTTTGAGTTAACGATGTCGACACGGGACGCATACGGTAATCCCATTTAAATCTTTACGCAAATGTGCATGAAATGTGGAATATTCTTCGGTTACAGTAATAACCGGCGTAAATTTTTTACTATTTCCGTTTCCAATACGATTGATAACGACAGTAGAAATGATATAAAAAGCTTCTATTTCAAATGAATAATGATGTTTTGTTAATTTCTATTTAAGAAAATATAATTTTAATATACATACAACACTAATAAAATGATATTAACGGCATTTGAAGTTTTACACAAATTCAATTTCGAAAACAACCATAAACTGCGTGAATAGTCCCAATAATTTTATTATTTTGATCGTGTATACGTAAAAACATTCGCATTTCATATGAATCTCTTTGCAAATCTTACAACATTCATCATGAATTCTAATTAGTTAAAGCTATTTTCCGCTTTCAGCGAATCCCTACGAAAACACTACGGAAAAGGTGCCCGGCTTGAGCAACGGGGAAAGTCCAGTCAACCCCGAAGTAGGTCTCAACTCACAAACGAGTAAGTAACTTACCGAGAGTGGCATTTAATTCGTATCAATCTCGTTCTAATTAAGCACCGGGCACTAGAAACTTTTCATTTCTCGTACCGCATGCTTCTAAGTAGACAGCTCCAGATTCACAAGAGTACTTCATACATTTAATATTTCACGTTTTATTTGCGCACCCCAGTCTCGAACATTTCTCACGTAGTTGCATAATAATGCTTTTCTTGCGCGCGTTTATTTTAAATCCTTGCGACCTGATTCCAAACTTGGACTGACTTCAGTTAACAATAAACATTCAAAAGTAATTTCATCCTGACGAATTATTAGACAGATGTCTCATTGTGAAAATATAAATGATGCATTTATTGTGTATTGTATATCACAAGTAAAAATAATTATTAATTACACGTTTGCTGTCAATTTTAATATTTGCACTTTATTCTTGATTTCATATCGTATATTTTTCACACGAAACTAACAATATTTGGAACTTTAATTAGCACTCGAAAAAGCAACATGTAACGAAAAAATAAATTTTTCCTCGTGAAATAAATTTAATTATCTAATAATATTCCATAAGCTCTGTTATGTATTATTCCTGCTATGTGAATATATTTGAATTTGGAATATGTGTTATTTCAAGTAATTACTTTTTAATGTTTTTGATAATCTGATTTACTGATTCTGCCAAATATTGAATTAAACTTTGGTTATTTAATTTAACTTTAACTTTTGTGTTTAATCATTTTAAGTTTTGATATAAATTCAGATTATTAAATTTAATTGGATAATTTTCAAATGCTCAACGCGTATACCTTCAGTCTGCTTTGAAAATACACAAAATTTATTCAACTAACTTTATTAGGAAAATGAGGCCGTTATTCTTTGCCAAGGAGAAGATACGATTAGAAAAAGTCATTGTCTGACATAGAAGAGAAGAGATGCTGCTGCACTTTATAATTCACGTAGCAACTTCCTCGTAACGTAAACAATTAGTCGGGTTAAGAGGTAGCGCATTTGAGGAAAAAAGAAGAGAAAACAGGAAAAGAAAAGTGAGGTTGACTCTGGCATAATTACGTATATCTGATAGTTTGTGCCAACAACAAATCCTACGTGGCATTTTCCAGGCCGCAAAACAGATGAAAAATATGCACTCTACGCTTAAGTTTACTGGATTAATGAAAGAAATTGCTTATATAAATGTAAAGTTAAAAGTTGCAAAGAAATAATAAATTGAAGTGAGGGATATCGATAAGAATATAACGTGTGGGCAGTAAATTCTATGATGATAAATTAAAGTCTCTTCTACAGGAAAAACAAGGATATTTCTATATATATACCAGTGTAATTTTAATCTGTGAGCCACAATTTTTTCCGATACGGAGCACGAATAATTACATTAGCCTTTTTTCCCTCCGCGCGATATGATCCAAAACGTATGATAAAAAGTGTACAAAATGCATTAGTGCAAGCAGTAAATAAAACACAATAATTTGTCGCCCGAATAGATAGAGAAACGCGCATACATAGAGAGAGGGAAATTACGTTACGAAAGGAGGACGAGAATAAAAAATGGAAAAAACTTATAGCACGGAAACAGGGGCGCGGAAGATATAGATAACTGGAAGTGCAGCAGATAAATGAGGACGCGGGAGGATGTTGGGAAGAATACTCGACTGCGGCATAATTACGGCTCTCTGATATACCTCGCCGCGTGAATCCTATCCCCCTATAACCCCCGTCGAAAAAATAGACTGAGTACTTTCCTGGTTCGCCATTATAAATAAAGGAAATGCGAACGGTCCTCAAATAAAACAGCCGCGAAATCGCCCGCCCGCGCAAAGCAGCACGCGCGCGCTGAAAAAGATGGCACGACGCGAGGGAAGAGCGACAAAGGGTAAAACGAAAAAAAATAGAGTAACTAAAAAAACAACATGTAAACCGCGCGTCCGCTTTACGGTGGTCTGAATTCAAAAGGACGCGCGGCAACGGGTGCCGTGACTGCTAATATAGTTCTTGCGCGCAATTTTTTTCATGCAATTCACGAGCAGAGAAGCTAAAGAAAGAACTGGCGCTTTCATAATTCAAACGCCGATATCCGTGCGATCGATTATGCGGATTAGCCAACGTCTGATTCGACAGAGTGGAGAAGGGAGGATTAGAGTCATAAAAGAACGAGCGAAATAAGGCAACCGAAGAAGGAAAAGACCGGACAGGGAACAGTCGACTTCATAATTACATATCTCTGATAGACTGTGTAAATGCCGAACTTTATTCTTCAGCACCTCCCTTTCTTTTGATTACAGATATTTTCTCTAGTCAGCTGCAAATAAAGACGTAGAATTGAAGAAGAAGAATCGTGCAGTTACGAAAAGTCGCATATATTGTAAAACTATTAATGCTTAAAATTAAAATACTTTTATTTTTTGTGTGTAGAGAATATTAATAATTAATCACTTGCATTCTGCAAGTATTAAAAGTATTAAAATATTAAAACGCGATTATTATGGCAATATTAACTAGCGTGCAAACGCATACTAATGCGTTTACAAGGTCGAAAACGGAAGCTTTAAAGAAGGTCCTACCCTGAAAGTTTTTAATAAAAGAAACACGCTGTAAAAAACAGGTTTTACTACTTTTTTCTTTTCCCTTATTTTAGTGACAGGTCAAAAAAGGTAAGCCATTGTTGTTGAAAGTATACGACCTCTTTAAAATTCGTGGCACACTCGTCGTCATGTATATACAAATGGATTAAACGAGATAAATAAAGAAATATTGAAAAAAAGGTGAAAAAAGGTGAAAAAAGGATGGAAATAATCGATTCAGACGTAACAGCACCGCGCCAAAATGGCGTTTCAAAATCCTATCACCCAATACGATACGAAATCCTTTAAATACGTTTCAATACGCGGTTGTAAATAAAGCAATGGTAAGCTGACTGCCGTTGCGCTTGATCGAAAAAGTAGAATGACCATGGATATGCCGGCAATCAATGTGCCACGTTGAAAAAACAAAATCAAAAATTGTCTAATAAAAGAGAGACCAAGATAATAACAGGCTCAAGTATGCATAATGCCAGACTCGCAACCGCAGCTTTATCTCCTAATACCGTTATCCGTTCTTCCCTCAAAAACAAAGAATAGAATTGCGGAATAAAAAAACGGAGAAAAAATATAAAAAACGCGGAAAACGGGGGAACAAACGAAGGAGGGTACGCGTGAGCACAAGAGTGGAAATTAAAAGCGTTCTCGCGCAATTTTCTTTTTCTACACATTGCACGACGAAGAGGAAGCGTCATTTGAAATCCAGATTTTCTCGCCTACGCTCCCCTTCCTGAATTAAGTGCAAAATCGGCGTTATAACAGTCGTCCGCCACGATTTTCCATCCAGCCTACTCTGCGCTCTGATCGAAGAAAAAAGTCACCGGCCGATCTTGATCATCACGCGAGTTCGACGAACTTAATTATTTCCGTCGCGAGAAAAACAATCATACTGCCGTAGCTTCCAAGCACTTGACGCGGACAGTGTGCGACAAAGCATAGTTTTTGCAATGTAAATCAATAACGAGCGAGTTGCGGAGAAGCTAGCTTCGTTTACGCTCAATAAAATAATTTTTCCACAAAAAGATTTTTTGTAGAATAAGACAATTATTTTGCACATTATTGGATCTAATGTTTACTTTGTCGTACGTTATTTAATGCGATCTAACAACAATGATATGTCCCTACAAATCTGTACAGTTACAGCGTCAGATGATGGCCAAGAATACTTGGAGATACTGATAGGCATCCTCACTGCCATTATACTGCTGCTCTTGTTGGTCTTCTTCATTATCCTACTTCTCAATCGACGACAAAAATTGCAGAGTTCTCCGACGGTGTTGAAGAATCCATTTGGCTTTGCCATAAACATGAAGGTAAAACAGAGATTACGTTTGAGATTCTGACAAGTAAATGATTGGAAATTTACAATTTACAGGGTCTTCTTTTGAACTTAACACCCGGCGGAATGCTGACGGCGGAAACTGCCAATCATGTTTCACCTGACATACCAGAGGACGTTAGCATGCATGAGTCACTTACGATGGAGCAATTTAACTCGCCGCTCGTTAGTCCCCAATACAAGTCCACATACGCGATTGTAGCAAATTCCGGTAAGCATTAGAGCTATCGTGCAAATTTCAATGGAAAACAACGAGCAGCGGCGATCGAATCGGTGGTTTGGTTACGAAAAGCAGGAAATGTTGAAACTATGATATTTTTCAGAGTTCCCAAAGGAATTTAAAAATATAGAAATTCCAGAAGAGGACGTACGACTGGACGCGAGGCCGGAGTCTGCGGTCGGCCCGTCCAGCTGCGCCTCATCGCCGACTAACTCGCCGGCTCGTCATTCCCAACACTACAGGACCCTTCAAAGTTATAGCAGTCCAACTAGGAAACTCAATATCGCGGTTACGCCCAATCACCAAAGAGACGTCGATCAGGTTCACTCGAAACGCTGGCACACAGCGCCAAAGGAGAAGCACAAGGTACACATTAGTTTTGTACCATCGTATGTGTATACAATTTGATGGCGTATTTGACTGATTGCGCCTTTGCAAAAGCAAAGGAAAAGTACCGTTATATCCACAAAACCGAAAATCAAACTGCCGCTTCAAACTCTCTTAATTTTCTGATGCCAAATGTAATTTATATTTAGTTTGTTTATCTTGTTGCAAAAAATTTATTTCAAGAGCGGGAGAGATGCGATAGTTATATATGCACTTCATTTATAGATACCGGCACCGGTCGTCAGTTGGAATATCGCGCCCAGTATGAACAAGCCGTACAGATGCAAGGAAATAGAGCCAACCAATATACCACGTCAGTGCCTACGAACGACAGAGAAACTTGGCTCCAGCAATATAGGAGAGGTGACGACATCGTTTATAAATTGAAAAATACACAAACTGCACGTTATCGCATTATTAATAATAGTTGCTCGAAATACATTTCTGCTTCCTTATTTACGCAAAATAGTTTGCATTTTTCTTCGTATCAGAAAAAGGTATTTAAATATCGGTAAAAGAATGGTTTTGGTTAATCATACATTTGAGATATGGCACGTATAAATACACCCGCAGATACACGCTTCGCTTGCGTGATGGCAGTTGCGCGTGATGACGAAATATAATTTACATATTTATCTAAACAACATATATACACTTCCTGCAAAATTCTGATATATATTTGTTTTTTTTTCTGATAATACGTCGTTCTTAAAAAATATGCAAAGTAAGCGACATTTTTATTTAAATATCTCTTAAATAACGTGCACCTTGTTAAACTAACACTTGAAACTCGATACAAAATATTAATATGATTAATATCGTCGAATAATTATGCAATTATATTTCCGATAATTTTCATCTAGACATATTCTAAAAATATTATATCACTTTCAGGCTATAATATGCGAAGCTGTTGGTCTAGACGAGGTCGTATCTGGCGCTCCCAGATTAATCGTTGCTCGTGTACCTTTGTGTACCAGCGATGTTCGAACTAACAACGCCGTAGACCAAATGAGAGAGGTGCGATTTCTGTCGTGTTTATCAGATCCGAATGTGGCACGAGTCTTAGGAGTGTGCACTGTCGAACCAGCGCCGTGGACAATCATGGAGTATACGGAACTCGGCGATCTCGCTCATTACCTCCAGTACAGCGTACCACTCACGGGAACGCTCAGGCCAAATTGCAATTTAAAAGCCCTTAGGTAAAACCTCCCTTCGAATGATTTCTCATTTGACAATCGTCCATCAAAAGTTCAAATGCTGCTTTTCCACATTTCTTTGTCTTTTATTTTACGCATTTATAATGTAAAATGTGAAGTATATAGTATAAATTTGTATATTAATCACATAAAATAAGTTCTTCCCCGCATAAAATTTATTTGGTGAATTTTGATTATTTTTCAGTCAAAGTTGTCTGCTATACATGGGGACACAGATAGCATCCGGAATGAGATTTCTCGAATCGAAGAATCTGGTACATAAAGACTTGGCGGCCAGAAATTGTCTAGTGGGTCGTTCTTATACCGTAAAAGTGACCGATATAGCCATGTGCAGTGATCTTTACAAGAAAGATTATAGCGACATAGGCGGTAGACCTCCCGCACCGATCAGATGGTTACCGTGGGAAAGCATTTTATTGGTAAGATTAAATAATCTTTGACTTTTAAAATATTTTTTGATTGATCATGTGAATAAAATTATATTTCAATTTTATAGTCGTAAAATGTCCTATAATTTGTTTAATTTTAATTATAGTTTCTCTATCTATAATAGATTTCTTTTTAGTGAAAAAGATTATTATTTTACATTTTTATTCTAGATTTTCAATTTTTAACGTCATATATCTTTGTAATTTTTAAACTCTAATTAAAAGTTAATTCAAGTAAAATTCATTTAAAATAAGCTAAGAAATTTTTAACAGCAAACGCAATAAGAGCTAGCAATGACAATGTAACACTTAAATTTCAGGATAGATATACGTGTTCGAGTAGCATATGGTCTTTCGCCGTGACACTCTGGGAAGTGATGAGTCTGGCTAGAGAAAAGCCCTTTCAGCATCTGTCAAACGATCAAGTTATTCAGAATGCCGAACATATGTATTACGGAGCGGAACTACAAGTAAATATCTTATCCGAATGGCGAAACGATCTCTTAAACGATAAATGATTTACAAGTCTATCGATTAGTTATCAAATTTTACTTATTCATTAAACATTAAAAACCACGTTTTACACAAACAAGTTTTGCACGTATTGTGTTGGTTCACGCGCGCGCGCGCACATAGATTTATTAAGGATAATTATAGATAATAATTATCGCTATAAAGTATTAATATAATTAATAAATTGAAAAAACGTTTTTGTGAATAAAATTTTTTGACAAAACTTTTATTCACTAATTAACTTTTAGTCAATCATTTTTGTTTTTCTAACAAATATCTCATTTTAGGTACTTCTACCGAAACCAACAATGTGTCCAGAAGAAGTATATCAAATGATGTGTTCATGTTGGAGAAGAGATGAGACATCACGACCAACCTTCAAGGATATCTATACGTTTCTGAAGAACATAATAGCGGACTATCGACCTGTATAAGTAATCTCGATTAACTGTGATATGGAATGGACAGATAATCTCTTCCAATGTGAACGACATCGAGAATATTTCGAGTGGGACATTGAAACAGAAGACATTATTCAAGATCATTACACGCTTGGCATGACGCCTTGCGAATCAGATTCTCCAGAAATGTACAATCGTTAGTTTTAGATATACGTGTATCGGAGACGCTAAATGTCTCCTTCTTCGCGCAAAGAAATTTGATTAATAAAAAATCTCATCACGAGCGCAACTCTAGCGACGATCGATGATCTCCCGCAGACCGTTAATCGCTCGTAATCTTCTGTCCAGATGAAAGTAACGATAACGGACGTCGTAATCAGAGCGAATGCCAAACGAGCAAACGAGGAGAGATGTATAATTATACATAAGTGTCACGTTTGTTTTCTTCAGACACTTGAGACCGATAATTTTGCTCTTCGATTCGAGTGGATAATCGCGTCACTTTTGTCTGGACGTCTAATGAAATTTCATTTTCTAGTCAGTATGAATCTTTAATTCTCACGAAAGTGCTATCGTGTACAGTATTCTAACATTAATAATGTGTAATATGTACCTACGCTACTATGCTCAGTACTGATAAAGTCTATCCATTTGTACATACAAATCTAGATCTTAATGCTAGGTAAAACGGGGAAATTTTTACGGCAGTAGATGTCACGACGGCTATTTTCTTTTTCCTTTCCTTTTATCCATTCTTTACACTCTGTTACGCTTAACTCTTCGACATTCTTAAATGATTAGCGGAAATGGCGTTAGCGTAATTTAATTCGCAACTTTAATCAATTTCATTCGCAAATACGGTGAGTTAATGGTAAGTGTAAAAAGTATTAGCGATATTTGGGAAAAAAATTAGATGTTTAGTCGATTAAAAAATATAGGCGTGAGGTAATTTTGTTAGAACCTACCGTCTTACTACGCCCTAAAAATTTCGGCTTAGTCAACTTGTACATTCGAAGCCCGTCAGTAGTAAGTACTTATTGTTCCATCATTTATTTAAGTTTGACCTGTACTATGTTAAAAGATGTAGGTTTAAAGTATGTTCTTCCCGAGGACGTAATACAAACACATATCTTCGCTCATTTTTATTTAAGAACAAAAGAATGCTAAGAACATCTAGCAGCAAATATCATGCTTTGAAAAATCAATAAAAATTAAACGCCATACATTTGTTGGAATTTCATATTGTCGTACGGACGCTTGAGCGTATCGACGATTGCAAAATGAAAATCTTATCACATTATCTTTATTTGGTGGCTAAAGAATACTCGAATTTATTATTTATGGATAGAATTATAGCATCTATTATAATCTCTTATCGTATATTTTCCAAGTCGCAATTGATTTGCATATTGTCATTTTAAAGTATGTGCATAACTCGAATAATTATGAAATGTGTGCAGCTTGTTATTTGCGTGAATAAAAAAATAAATTTAAAAAAAATAGAAACGTTCAAACGTCCTATCCCTTGTTCTTCGAACTTGTTGAATGAAATTAAACAAGTCTCCAAACAATTGTTATCGTTATAATTGTTTGCCGATATCAATCTCGATCAATGATAAACCCATTTGAAGAGTGTTCTTAAGTGTTTGTCAATTTCTTCAATAATAAATTAATCCCCTAAAGCTTACCACCTAATTATCTCAATTACTACATTTAAATTTTCTGGAATTTTACTGGCAAGATCGTCTAAAGTTTAAAGCAAAGTTGTGCAAGAGAGATTTAACTTTCAACAGATTGTTGTAGTTGACGTCTTCTTATCGCACCTTTAGAAACGAGTCGTTGGATGGCTATAACTAAGTTTGTCCGTTTCTAAGGTAGAGTGCACCTTAGTTATAACCATCTAACAACTCGTTGCTGAAGAATGGCAAAAGAAAAACAGTAAGTGTCAACTGTGAAAACCAACCAAAAGTTGCAACGTTGATTCAAATTGTTAGATGATTCTACAAAAGTTCAGAAGATTCAATATTATCTACAAAACGTCCTAGGCAACAATGCAATATAAAAGTAAATGCTTAATGATTTTTACTGTCAAAGTGTTATTCGATGTTTAAAATGTTTTTCTCAAAATCTGTTTATTAAGCCCGTCTGTTTCTTACGATACCAGATAACGAGTAAAAGATTGATGAACGAGATTGATAAACTTGTTATGCAATTGTTTCGTGAATCTGGATTAATATAATATTACAGAACAATATTTGTCTAATGTTCCGAGGACAAATCACGATCACACACAGCCGTAGTGATTTTAATCTCGCGAATATATCAAACGAAAAACATCTAAGATAAAATTTTGTTTGACTTATTATATAAAAAAAAAAACCTTATTTATATTAATGCTAACGATAAAGACTATGTTCAGCGTTAAATGTGAAATACAAATGTGGATCGATATGTACAAACTGTTTATTGCATTCTCATCTAAAATTATACTCAATAGATTGACAAATGCTACATGCACTATTAATTTCAAAATTTGCGTAATGGCAAAAAGATAAAAAAAGAACTTGCAAGAAGTGTAATTGATGGAATACAAAAAAATTGTATTTAAAAAATAAAAGAATTGTGGTTTAAAGCCAAATTGCATAATTAGAAAAACTAGTTCTGCATTATAATGAACTGTTTCTGTTGCACAATCGGTTTAACAGACTTTCGACTATTATCTCCGAGTTATCAATATATTGCAAAAGGATACAAAGGAATCGCAATGCTGGTACTATATATGTACATATTTTATGAATAGTTAAGCGCAACGAGTGCACAAGCAACGAATTCGGAAAAGTCTCGAAATTTTGCTACACCTCTCATCCTAGGAACATACTATTATCACTCGATGAGTCACGGAAAAGTCAAACATTATCTGACATCATATAATAACAGGGGAGATAAGGAATTGCACATTATAGAGATAACTCGCATGTGTGTGTGCCGTACTCTAGTGTCCATGTGTGCGTGATCGTGCCGCGTAATGCCGGTTTCTTCCGTTTATATAATGGTAGCGTTCCGAGAAAGTGAGACCATTGAATCGTCGACTGTCAGAATCACACGCTACTCCGACACTCTCCTAGTCGCCGAAAAAATGAGAACCTACACACTCGTGTTCGTCGTCCTCGCGACCGTCCTTCTCTATACTGGTAAGTAATATTCTTTTTGTATAAAATAAAAAATTACAACATACATTAATAGTTTTAAATATGCAAATATGAATATGTCAAATTTTTTCGAACATAAAATTTAAATAAAGAATATATATATAGGCTCAAATTAAAACAATATTCTTGGAAAAGAGAGGATCTTGAGCTGAAGCAGGATTTCAGTCGCTTCAATAATATTCTTTATTCAAACAGTAAACGTTTCAGTCGACCCCTCGACCATCTTCAGTACATAGAATCGTAGTAGTCTGATAAACTGATGTCGCATAATCATGTGGGGTATAATATTCCCGTAGAAGTCCATTATTAGAACAATAAGAAGTCATTGCAAACTATGAGATTGTAAGCATTATCATATAAACTGCTTGCGGTGTTGTCACAAAAGAATCAACAATTTACATGATAACGCTCCCGCATTAACTGACTTCTTATTGTTGATTATGCGTGATTACATCAGTTTATCAGACTACTACTAGATTTTATGTACTGCAGATAGTCAAAAAGTCGAAACGTTTATTGTTTGAATAAAGAAGATTGTTGAAGCGACTGAAATCCTGCTTTGGCTCAAAATCCTCTCTTTTCCAAGAATATTAAATAAAGAAATTATTCCGTTTTTTTAACTTGTTTTCAAATTATAATTTATATAATTTTAAATAATAATTTAATGTAATACCAATAATTGCTCATTGATTCAATATTTAATATCAAAGTTTACAGATTTTATCAAATAAATTCAACTTATTTGCATAATTTTCTTTTTTTCTTTTCGTGTTTTTGCACACAAGTGCAAAATTGTCAGTTCTAATAGATAAGAGTTCGCTTTATCGTAGAAATTAAATGTTTATTTTTGTAAACATTGCCACATAAGCCACATCGTTAAAATATGAATCGATTACTATTGCGCTAATGCGTAGAAGCATACGTTTAATTTGTAAATAACTGACAAATTTTTTATTCTTAATGCAATAAAGAAAATTCGAGATTAACAAGAAACAATTTCGATAAAATTGCAATCTTGTAAATCTGTTTTTAGAACATGTCAATGCGGCGGAAATATGTCCTAAAGAGAACTGTGTTACCCCTGAAAAGTGCGAAATACCAGTGATGAATACCCAAGTTCTATGCCAGGAACAGGGTACCTCTTGCTGCAGTCTAGGTAAGTTCACACTGAATAAACTAATATCGCATATTGATCAGAAGAATCAAAGTGTTATATATTTTTGTAACACTTTAGAGCACAATTTATCGTTCGACGTTAATCTGCAATACGCAGTTATTACTGATCTTAAATAGTAAATAAGTAAAATAGTAAATACACGCCTTATTTATATTATGATATCTTCGCAATATACGATACGCATAAGTCAACGTCGAGTCGCATATATTCCTAGAATTCGCTTTATCGCGTTATGAATTTCGAACGGCTAGCGAATTAATGTATGCGCCACTTTCACATAGCAAATTATAAGCACGATTTTCCACTCGCATCCATTTCCATCCGATATCTTTTACGATATCGTTTCAATATAGATTCATATCTCGAAAATTAATTTTCCGAACATCCTCGTGGAGAGTATTCGCAAATATTTAACAGCTAGTAACGTATTTTTAAAGCGACAGGACGAATTACCCATTAAATCATCGTACATAAGCGCATTAAAGTTTCTTCCTGTTATGCGGCTATGAAATATGCAACTGGAGAAGTCACACTTTCTATTACAAGCATTTCTCCTAAGATAAATTCTTTTCATTACAGTTAAAATGGAATACAGAACTCATTGCCGTCACTACGGTGGAGAGTGCATGGATAGATGTGGTACGAGTCTACAACGCCAAGCAATCGACTGTCCGAGCAATAAAGTCTGTTGCGTTTTGGTTTAAAAGTAATTAAGATGTATGTGACAAATGTCCAATAACATAATCAAATCTCCAGCAACTTTAATATAATATTAAAATAATGTTGCTACGTATAGATATCATTTATGTAAATTAAAAATTTTGTATATTTTAATAAGAATTGAAAGTATTTATTGATAAAAACAATGATAAGTTTTTTTAATTGATAGATCAATACTTGTATCAAGCAAGTTTTTCGAAATTGCACTTAAGTACATTGTTTTCAAAATCGACGATTTATGTATGTGCACTAGTGTAATTTTTATAGATATTAAATTTTATATAAATAAAAATCTTATATAATTACAATTTCAAAATTATTTCGCTCCATTTATAATCTAATGTTTGATCGACAACACCATAATTATTGTCTATATAATATTCACAAATATGTCAACAATATATAATTAAATTCATCAACACAACATGTTGTATAATAATTAATAATAAAAAATTAAAATCTATTAACACAACTCTTTCAAAACATTTGATTAAATTATATTGAATAATATAATGTTAAATTCTTTACATCAAAATTTTTTAACCAACAACATTTATAAAAAGTAATGTGACTGCACTTTTACATATCTTCAATCACAGTTTTTGAATGAATGGTTTAGCAAACCTTATCTCGAATTAAACTTTTCATCGATAAAATCGCTGGAGAGGAAACTATTGTTTTTTATATGATATGCTTTTTATGCTCCTTGAACAATGATAATTTTAAAGGAAAGTCAGGAGAGAAAAGGGCAAGAAAACAAGGGAAAAGAGAAGGCAAGTGGGATATACCGTGAAGTTTTATCCGGAAAGAAAAGTTGCCCGGGGCGGTGGCGAGCTAAGGCGGTTGACAAGAGGTCGGTCAAGGAACAACGTGTACAAGAAGAAAGGCGGCCAAAAGGAGAAAGACAGAAATAAGTGAGGAGAGTAAGTAAAAAAAAAAGGAAAGAAGATATATACGAAGCAGAAAGGAGGGGTATGTTTCGCCATGGGCGATGCAACCAGAACGTAGGATAATATGTATATATCTGTGCATCGGCGTACAAAACTGTATTGGTTAGCCCTCAACGATCGAGAGTCGTGCAGCGAAGAAGAAAAAAACGAAGCAACGTAAAATATACGAAACAATAGTAATATATCTGCCTCATTTTATTTGCCAACAAGTACCATTTTTATATTTATTCTTTGTCTTCTTTTGTGCTATAAATATTTTTAAAAAATAAACGAATTAAGAAGAGATATAAAGAATAAAAAACGAGACTTTCAATACGAGGAATTATACTCAATCCCTCGAATATCATTTTTGAATATTACCAATTAAAATTATTAAAATATTAATCTCCAAAGGTAAAACCAAACAAATTTTTACTACAAAAAACAAAAAAGAAAATAATCATATATTATCCTAAATAATCTTATTTAGAAAATAGTCCTATTTTATCAAAGTTCCCTAAATATTAGACATAAATAAAGAAACAAATGTAAAGTGGATTTAAAGAATAAATAATATAATTATTATAACAATGAAGAAGACACGAAGCTGGAGAATAAGAGGTCCCGCTAAAAGGTCGCGAGAGTCGTTGACATTTTCATTGCGCTGCAATACCGTCGTTCTCTTAGTCTTATTTTAAATATCTCTTTCTATTTCTTTTATAATGCACGCAATTGAAAAATATGCGAGGGGAGGCAGAAGAAAAAGCACGAGAGTTGTGTCGCCGGAAGCGATACAGGCAGATGCCAATATGACGGTGCACGTATACGCGCGAGAGTGGTTTCGGTTGACCCGTAGGGTAAAAGCGCATAATATTACAGTAGAACAAGAAGAAGCGCATCCCTTCCACGATACCGCCCGCGGCGTCAGCGAGAAGGACACCCTGAGGGTTACTCAGCTGTAGATACGAAGAGCACAGCAACTTCAACGTGAGCGCGATAACGAAACGACGATAACATATTATCTTTCGCGCTCGCGCCCGCGCGCAAGAGCGCTTTAAGGAGCGAAACGGAAAGTAGCGGTGAAGAACTTTGAAAGTAAATTTCGCAAAGCGCCGCGGCGATGCCCGCGGTGGTAGATTATCCTAATCTCATTATTTTTCTTGCGATAAATGATGCCATCAAGCGAGTAGAATGCGAAGTTCAAGAAGAAGGGGGTTGTGAGGCCTGCCGCGAGCGATGCAGGCGAATGCCGACGATACGATGGCACATGTATCCGCATGCATGCGTGCATGCATGCATGTATGTACGCGCACTCGCGCGCTTACACATACGTATTAATAACGTATACATATATATATATATATATATGTGAGTCGTTTCGATGGGCCCGCGGGTGTAGGCGCGGGGATCGCGCTGCGCGCGGCAGAAGAAGGACGCCGTCTTCCTCGTGCGTCTTCCCGTCCCTATCGTTGTGCGCGAAAGATGCCCTCGGGGGTAGACGCGCGGTGCTCTGCACCCCACCGTGAAGCGGTGTGGCGGAGGCATGGTCGTTCCGCTGCGGGCACGGAAACGAGAGGAGATAGCGGCGAGCTTCGTCCTCTCCGCCTTCGTGTCCCAGTGAGAAAGGTGGTCGACGGGGCGAGCTAGAGGGAATGAAGGGAAGAGAGGGAGGGAGAGAGAGAGAGAGAGAGAGAAAGAAGGATCTACGTTGCCCCGAGGATATCCAGCGAGACAATGCGCTCCGTGACGCCCTGGGCGACTTCAAGGCAGACCGTAGTTCTCCCTCGTTTTCTGCTCCCTCTTTCCGTCCTGGCCTCTGGCGATTCTTCGCTCTTCCGTCTCGCTCCTCTCCCTCTCCTCTTTCTGCTTCTCCTGGCTTTCTTCTCTCCCGCCCCGCGTCACGCCGCTTCTTTCTCTTCCTCGCTCGCCGCGAGATTCTTTCTGTTTGCTATTTACACAAACTTTGCTGATATCGAAATTATTCCGCAAAATGTAGATCCATGTAATACCTTACTAGAGAAATCCATTTTCTTTTAAAAGGATCGCGTTGTCGGAATAAAAATGTAGAAAAAATAACCTTTGGTTATTATTTATATAATGTAATTCAATATAATCAATTTAAAAAAAATTTTTTCCAATCGTTAAGCAGTTATTTGTCTTATTCTTGTAACAAGAGAGTTCTTGCAACTCGGCTTTTCCAACATATCTGTCCATTACAATGCATCGTTCTTTTAACTAATCCTTGAATTTTTTATGGTTTTCTTTATTATAATTTCATATTTAAATGCAGTTGGATTATTACGAGTCAGTTTGGTGGCCTTATTCGGTGTTCACTCTGCTTCTCTCTCAGTGTTCGTAGCACGTCATTACTTCTCTCTAAATCTCCGCGGCTGTCTCCGGCGTGTTTCCACGACGTAAAATTTCTAGAATGTCACCCCAATTGCAATAAAGCGTTCTTCAGTGTCCTTCTTTACCGCAGTTCACCCGCTCTTGCTCTCCTTAACATAGTCTTCTCCACTATTGCCTTCTCTCTCCTAGTGCACGCTCGCTTGGAGGGAGTAACGATGCCCCGGAGCGGGCCTCCGCGGCGCGGCACCGTGGTAACGATAAGCAACGAAATGAAATATTAATGAAGTACCTGAGCGCACGTCCATTTTTCGCGGGCGTCTCACCACCAACGCCTCGGGTGCCGAAGAAAAAGTCGGCTGGCTCATCGGAAGTAAAAGAATCATCGCTAGTGAATAGAGGAAAGATAAAAAAAATTGCTATGGCATTTTTATGACACTTACACTGAGAAAAATGTTCTGTTTGATTCAACAAACCGTTCTGTTCGATTCTGAACGAAACAGACAAATTCTGGTTGAATCTATCAAAACATTGTTGCATTAATAGGAATTCTGGTAGATTCAACCAGAATCTGTCTGCTTCATCCAAAATCGAACAGACGATTTGTTGAATCAAACAAAACATTTTTCTCAGTGTAGATTGTTGGAATGTATTTTCTCAATCCAACAATATCGAGAAATTTATGTTGCTTATATCGTTATTTAAAAGATATTATAGGTTTTTATATTAGTTTCATATATTTATATTTTTCTACATAATCTTGTATTTCATTAAGTTTCATTTTGTCTATCGAGAATTTCTATATTTAATCTGCTTCTTGTTTGTGACTTTGTTGCTGTTTGAATTGCTTAGAAATTGTCAAAAATATAAGATGATTAAAATCGTATTTTATGAAAAGATTAATCTAGAAAATAGAGGAACGTAACACACGCGGATGATGAAAAAGGAGACCGAAGTGCGCTTTACTACGGTTGCGAGATGACATTTTAGAAATTTTATGTCTCGGAAACGAGCTTGGGGATTTAAAGAAGAGTGAAGCACCAGAAACGCAGGATCAAATGAACCCGTTGAGAAAGAAAATAATGCATACTAATTCTTTCACCATTTAGGGCGGTATACCGTCCTTATATGATAAGATTGTCTTAAGTATGGTGTTAAAATGCTATGAACCAATCAAAAAGCCATATTAGTATCCTAAGACAATATTTAAGATAAGACAATACTTAAGACAATACTTAAGATACTTAAGATAATAATCTTGGAATACGAACGGACTACCGCCCTTAGATACAAAATCGCAACAATATTGAAGTTGATTAAAACAAGATGTTTTAACAGTAAGTCTGTTTAACAGCAATCATGTTCTTCTTTTTTATTAGATATTTTTACTTCGATTCTCAAATTTATAAATGTCAAATATCATTATTGCATTTTTTGTCAGTTTATCGAAACTAAATAATTTAATGAAAATTATACAATATTATCAAATGCATTTATGTCGCATTTCAAGAATATTATAAATGTTGCTCATATTAAAACAGTAAACTGTGGCTCTTGCGAAAGTCAAACGATCACATCCCGATTACAGTCAGTCGGTAATAACGCATTGCCCGCGTTTAGCCCTTCAGCGGAATTCGAGCGCCGTATTTTCGCGAACAATGTATGGAAAATAACCCATTGCGCACCTTTACCGCCACGGCAGTGCATGTCAGCGGTGGTTGCATTGCGATGAATACAAAAATACCCGGGGCGATTCCCTAATTGCAGTGAGAGGCAAACGAACGGTGGGACAGAGAAAACGAGAGTAAAACGAAGGAAAAAGAGAGAGAGAAAGAAGCGGGAGGCCGAGAGGAGAGAAAGAGAAAGTCGGCGAGAGAAAGCGAGATAGGAACTGCCGGAGGAGAGGGAGAGGAGAGAAAGATCTATTCGTTCTTTTCAGCAATGCTTCGAGCGCTTTTTCTCTTTCTCTCTCCCTCTTTCTCACCTTCATCGTACCACTGCTTCGCGAACCTTCGCGGTATATACCATATACC